GGGGGGGGGGGGGGGGGGGGGGGGGGGGGGGGGGGGGGGGGGGGGGGGGGTGACGATCAAGTTGTTTTTTGGTTGACCAAGCGAGGGTTGAGCTGGTACCAAGTTTGCCTGGTTGATCATGAATCTGACAAGGAGCTCCCCGGAATGGTACGGCTACGTAGTGTTTGCATTTGTGTCAGGTAAAACGTGTCTCGGGCTATGGGTTCGCCTTAAAATGTGCAGCCTTACTCACCCCAGAGTTTGCAGGAGGGTCGGCATGTTCGACGAAACGTAAACCAGTCATACCACTCCCTGGCGTTGTCGCGGTGCGATGATGATGGTATTGTGATTCAGCGTCTGAGTGGCGCAATCAGCTACACTTCCTTTTCCCTTCCCTGCCTTTTGCTTTGATGGGACTTTTTTAGCTGAAAGCTAAGTTGGCCTTCAACTCTGTTGCAATGCGTACAATAGGTGGTTTGTCGTGTTTATGTCGTACCTTACTTGAGGGTAGCTCATGACCACGCAAAGTTGGTTCTTCTAAGAGCAAGACGAGGAAAAAGTGGAGATGAGTGAGCGTCTGGCGATTATAAACATGCAGATGGCAAAAACATTACTAGAAGGACACGAATTTCGAACTTCGCTATTGGGCGGAATACTGACTGCGTTTTGCATGGTGTCCACCGCGGCGACGGTGAGTCGTAGACCCCCTTGGCCCGAGTGTCCGACCTCTATTGCTCAATCGGCAACTGAGTGCTCAGAACAATATGTCGGTTTGATCTTTCTAATGCCCTGGTCGGCACCGGCGTTTCTCCTCTGCACAAATCGACTTTTTGAAACTCAGCCCAACGAGGGCTGCCAAAGACTTTCGCGCACGGTCAGCCGGTCAAGCGTAGTCAAAGCAAGCAGAAACAACACCAGACGATCGGTTTTGCATACCCAGCAGTCCCGAGGAATGCCAACTTCGGCGCATGTGCGCCCTAGTCTACAATCTTTCCCCTCGTGGACAAGACGCATTTCTTCGCACCATGACAACATGTGGTTCATCCACGAGATTTCCACTGGAGGCGCCCCGAGTGGTTGGCCCTCGGCCTTGGTCGGAATGAAGTTACTTTGATTCTCTTCGCATCACAGGGTGCATGAAATCGCAAACGAGAATCAGAGCTCGAAAATAAGGACGGGGTACTGTACACAAGCCTTTGTTCCTCCCTCAGACCGAAAAAAAAGCTGACAAGGTACACCACTTTGCCAGCAGTCATGTTTCCATCGAGATAATATCCCTACAGTAACACACACACCTCGGGAACCAACACAAATGCTTCCTGCTTCTCGGAGCTTTCGACTCAGCCAGAATAGGATGCCATGGACAATCATCTTGACCGCCCGCCGCTTGTCCAACATCGCGTACTTTAGCCTTCCCATCAATCCGGCTTGTTGCGCCTGCCCGCCCACTCCCGTGTCTCCTTCGACCAATCGTGATCCCGACCGACATCTTTGCTTCCAGAATTCATGAAAGCACCACGCTGTATCTGCGACCCCGTCAACCCTTCTTCGCTATCGTACAATGACTTCCTGCTCAGGACGGTGCGGAAAAGACAACAAACACGTGTGCAAACAGTTGGCGAGAGGTATTCCGGGCAAACAATATGAGAATATCATATGTTGCTGTTTTTTTTCAACCGTTGCTGTTGTCGGCGGTCAGTGAGTCGTCAATCGTACAGGAGCAATATTCCTAAACTACGTTGGCCACTAAGGACCACCAGCTTTTGCTGCACTGCGATAAACCAAACGGTCCTTCGGCGAGTGCGCTACAACCGTACGGAAGGGTGAAGTGCACACTTACAAGAACGTACTGGTAGCGCTGAACTCCCCTTACCACCCCAACGAGTGTAAGCGTGTGCTCACTGTAAGAGATCCCATTTCCACAACCAGCGGCCATTGGATATAGAGTCCTACGTTCAAAGCTGATCAAGTCCGCTACAACTTGGCATCAAAAGGACAACAGCCTGTCTAGGTTTGCCCTGCATGTATGCATACGATTTGAAACAAGAAATTGCAGCACGGGGTTGGTCACTGCGGGGAGTGTCCAATGGGGTAGTTGGTGTTGATGCAAGCCTAGTGCTGTTGGATGAGCACAGCTGTCCCGGTTGACAAAGTGAATAGATGGTAGTGTTGTTTTATTGGTTGTCCTCGTAGACACAAGCAACGGAAGAGAGTGGGCACCAGGGTGCATCACAAACACCGAGGCACGCGAGCAACAGTCGCAAGGCACATTCGGAACGCGGAACACACGACGGCACGGAACGCGCGACAACTTGCCAAAGATATTACTACCGGAGATACCCCAAAGATCCAAATGACCGATGGACGGCCACGCACTTGCGCACTAGCATAGCTCACAAGCACACATGACTCCTACCGCAGCAGCCTTCGTAAGGATGGCATAATCCACCTCACGAACACCCTCCCTAATTCTGTGCATCATAACGATGCTCTCAAAACCAAAGTGTTCAGGGTAATCACAGAAAACTCCAAAAGTGAACAAAATTACACAAACGGAGGGAAACCCACCGGATCAAAACCCTCCGCCCCCACGGGTCATCCTGTGGATTGAACTGTCGACACAATCAACACAGCAGTCGCAAAATTGCAAACCTACGCGCCTACAACTGTCAGGCATTTGTACTACCCCTTCCAAGCAGTCCCCTCCCAGCAAACACGATCCCTACTGTAGCAAGTTGCTGTCAGCAACGCGGCGCGACTAAAGCCACAAGCACCAATGCCAAACCGCAGCGGAAAAACGTAACACTTACCGCGACATCGCTCAATGACATTTTATAGAGGGCGATCAACCAAGCGGAAGATCAAGCAGTACCTCAACCACAAGCGGTCCGCCGCTTCGAGAGACACGGGACCCAGACATTTTTCGCAACTCCTTCACAAGTAACTCCCTCCCAGCAACAGGATCCCTCCCTTATCCAGCTGCTGTTAGCAACGAGGTGCGTCTACAACCCCGATCACCGTTTTCGATCACATGACAGTGAGGGGTGCCCCCATCGGTCTGTACATCAATGAAAGATCATATAAAAGAGCAATCAACCACGTGTTAGGGGAGGGTGCCCCCTCACAGCCTACACACCGGTGGAAGATCGAAGCAGCATATCAATCACAAACAGTTCATCAACCAGCCCGTTGGTACCTGCTAATATGAGAGACGCTGGTCGTCATCTATCATGAAAGAGGGTCACACGTCAGCCTTCCCTGACTTCAGGCAGATAACCCGGCCTCAAGTCGGAAATATAAAGCCCGAGAAACAATTTCGAACATCATCAATCAAATTGGTGTGACCGCGGTGCCCCGCGGATCACCAGTCCTTCAAATGAGACAACAACGGAATGCCACACCGTCCTCAGTATTTCGTCGTGCAACGACCTTCATCATGGCTCAACCTACGCGGTAATTTACTGAGATGAGCATGGTATACAGGACAAGCAACATCAAGTTTCGTGGACTGCGTTCGTTTCCCGATTAAACACACAAGAAAAACAACGAGCGAGCGGCGGAAAATAAATCACCAGGAAAAATTCCCTTTTGTACTTTCGTCAGTCACAGGAAAATGCCGACGAGCCGAATCGCACGCAAGGCACGAAAGGGGAGGAGCGTTGCCGCTGGGAAAGCAGATCTAGATAATATCAGAGTGCTTCGTATGCGACGTCCAACTCGACAGCACCAACTCCAACTTCAATCGCGGTGACTGCAGTCTCAGTTCTCGATGGGCAATTTTCGCGTTGTGACCCTTTTTCCCGCACCTCTGGCAAAGCTTCTCTGGGCACGCACTCGCATGGTGGTCCCCATCACAGACGTCGCACTTGACTTTCTTATTCGAGCATTGTGGGGATGGGCTGGTCAAAGGCCAACTCTAGGTGGTCACTAAGGACGAGGCACGCCTTTCCTGGCGCGGGTCAGCTGGACCAAGCGCCGAATACCTCCGTCGAAGTCCAACTGTTTGAGGCGTGGAATTCGGGCATGCGAGCTGAAGGCATACCGTGAAGCTTGCTGCTCGCTGCTGCCTCCTTCTCGCGGGAAAGCCCCCTCAGTTGGCGTAGCTTCTCGTGGTTCCGGGCCTCACAGTCTCCTCGCTCCCTCGAGCCCTCGTCCGGTATACGGCGCTTGGTCCAGCTGACCCGCGCCAGGAAAGGCGTGCCTCCTCCCTAGTGACTCCCCCCCGCCGCCCGCTGCGGTCGCACTTCCGGCGGGCGGTGTCCCGGGCACTAACCGGGACAAGGTGTTCATGATTCCCTGTAGTTTATCTGCCACCATCTTCTCCAGTCTGGTACTGGTGTCGCCGACGGCGCTGTCGATGGCCATCTTGAGTTCCTCATGAGTCGGACCGGCCTCTCTCCCGACAGATTTTTCAGAGTCTTCCGAACCCATGTGTGTCTCCCGTGCTAGACCATGGCGTTAACGCCACAAACTCTAGAGTGTTGATTGGCCCCAAGCCTAGTGCTGTTGGATGAGCACGGCTGTCCCGGTTAACAAAGTGAATAGATGGTAAAGTCGTTTTATTGGTTGTCCTCGTAGACATAAGCAACGGGAGAGAGTGGGCACCAGGGTGCATCGCAAACACCGAGGCACGCGAGCAACAGTCGCAAGACGCATTCGGAACGCGGAACGCATGACAGCACGGAACGCGCGACAACTTGCCAAAGATATTACTACTGGAGATACCCCGAAGATCCAAATGACCGATGGACGGCCACGCACTTGCGCACTTGCATAGATCAAAACTACACATGAGTACTACCGCAGTAGCCTTCGTGAGGATGGCATAATCCACCTCACGAACAGTTGGTCTGTGGCCACCGAAGAAGGCCGCGTCATTTGGGGCGGTGCGGATGTTTGAAGGCACTGGGCAGATACCGTTTTCTGTGAGGTGAGACAACAGCAGACCAACAACAGCATCTCAACAAGCAGACGAAAGCTATGAATACTAGCTGCGCTGTAGGCTGTAGTATCATACTAGCTGTGCTGTGGGCGAACTGCTATAATATTGTACACGTTGAAACACCGATCGATAGGACATCAGCACCATTTTCGTTTCTGAACATCCATGAAATGGGAGAAACTGCGTAACAGTCATCAACCCTCCCGCTCAATGCCTGTAGATGTGTAGCCTACGTCGTACTCGGCGCTACAGCAGCAGTGGTCATGTACTGCTTGTGTTATTTTGGTCTACTCGTGTGAGATCATCCTAGTCTGTGAAGTCATGTACTTACGTCATCCGCTTTCGAACTACGAAAGGTAATGATGCCATGGCCGCCGAGAAGCCACAGATGGCCACCCCCACAGCCAGGTTTCTTTGCCTGACGCTGGAGAAGTAGTTCCTCATGGCACTAGCTAGCACTGCTGACTGTAACGTGAGTTGTGCTCGACGCTGCGGGGGTAAAAAATGCGGGGGGATCTACGGTACACGGCTAGGAGGTTGGGTGGTTCCCTCTTCTGCATTTCGCGTACCCCCTTTGGATGCGCCTTTGATCCGCGCACGCACCAGGCACAGAATTGACGTTGGGCGAAGCAGCAACGCGTGGACGTCTTACGGAAGAAGGCGACAGCAATCACCGGTGTGCACATTGCACAGAAACGGCAGAGTGTAGCACCGCCACGCGTCAGCCGCCTCGGACTCGAGCGTAACAAGAACTTAAAGCGGAAGAGAGACTCGGAGAGACTTGAACAGCGAATGTCATATCTTTCGTTGTTTGGTGCAGACGGCGGACTTCCCATCTGGGCGAGGTGCTTGAGGGATTGGCTAGTCGTTACGCACGCGCCACGCAGCCCCAGATGCGCTCAGAGGGTTAACGCTTTGGCGAGACAAGATGCGAGTGCTGCAACCACAGAAAATTCTGCGCGTGCCCAAACGACAAGCTGCGGTTTTTCGTTGACGCTCAGTTGTTTTGCGCCCGACGAAGAACGCCCGAGCGGTCCGCGTTTCGTTCTCGTTCTCGTAGGAACAGGATTGAGTTCTAAGAATCCTACCGAGAACCATTCCCTCCGCATTTCGATGCTGGCACAGCACATGTTAACGTGTAGTCCCTCGTGGCGGATGTGGCAGCACCGTAGTTCGCCTTGAACTTGCACGACTATCATTCGGTACGTGGTGCAGCCACAAGTAACATGCAAAAAATGTGCACGCTACACACAATCTTGACGCTAAAGCAGTAGCCGTAAGCAACAAGAACAACGCGGAAGCTCATGCCTTCCTCCCTGAACAGCGAGATAACGTACTAAGAAGGCCCTACTGCAAGAAAACTGCTTGCACGCACGGCCTGATCGAAAATGGTTGTTGGCCGGTTAGTGATGCTGCCTGTATCGTAACGTAGACACCTCTCTATCTATCTAGACGTCTTCACAGCAGCATGCACACAACATAGTACCCTGTGTCTCAACGCTTTGTTTCCTCCATCCAGATGATCGATGACGTAAAAGAGCTGTTGACTGTGGGATCGAAGGTCCGCGAGGCCATCGAGGCCACCGATGTCGCCAAGAAGAGAAGGCGCGCCCGACTGAAGGACTACGACAGCACGCTCCACGTGCTGCTGCAGAGCGGGTCTCCGGATAAGTTCAAGAGCGAGCTGCAGAGGTTGCATGATATCTACCATGAAATAGAGGCGCTGCACGTGAAACACACGGCGGACCCGGAAGACCCGACGTGGGTCAGGTTTGCCAAGAAAGTCAACAGAGGAACTCAGCACAAGTCTATCGAGGAGGACTTGGACGCCATCGACGGACAAGCCCTCCAGCTCATCACCGCCATTGCCGCGAAATCGTCGATCGGCAACAGCAAGGCGATTCGGCAAATATTGCAAGACTTGAAGCTGGAGGGAAGGCGTGTCAGCGGTGGTAGTACGCTGCTAGTCGCGGGGGGAGTCTTCGGAGCTGTTTTCGTCGAAATCGCGGCATTGGCGCTGGCGCACCGAGACGGAGAAGCACCTGTCGATGTATTCGAGGCGGTTGAGCTCGTTTTGCGCGACTTTGGGCCGGACGGGTTACGCGTCAGCGATGGGACCCAGCTGTTCGTCGTGGGGTTGATCGGGGCGCTGGTCGTTGCCTTCGGAGCTGTGACGACTGCTCAACGAAATGCCGTCTTTTCCATGATCCGTGGTACGCTCCCTCCAACGCTGCCCGAACAGGCTGCAGTACCCGCAGGGGCGCTTGCCTCGCCCCACAGCTTCGTGGAGCGGCCTTGCGTTTGAGAAGCTGCCGACGGCCCCATCAACCCAGAGACGGCGCTCGCCCCCTCCACGGTTGTCGGCATGGGTGGAGGTGGGAAAACGGTGCTAGCCTCAGCCATCGTGCGCGATCCGAGTGTGAGGGAGCACTTTCTTGGTGGGATTTCCTGGGTGAGCGTGGGCAGGAACGGAAAGAGAAGTCTTCCGCCCCTCCTGCAGACCCTAGCCAGGGAGATTACTACGGCACCCACGGATGCTCCGCACGGCGTGCCTCACGCCTTGGACGGCCTAGAACAGGTTAAAGCACCTGGCAGCAGCAGCATCCACGGGCACTTCCTCGCGCCTGGTGGTGCTGGACGACGTGTGGGAGCGGGAGGTCGTGGACGCCTTTCGTCCTCTCAAGTTGAAGATGCTGGTGACCACGCGTGACAACTCGGTTGTCGGTGTACCAGGGGGACGGTTGGGGCTGGGAAACATGACTGGCGAAGAGGCTCTGGAGCTGCTGCAGAAGACGAGCTTGGCTGTGGGCGGCCTGGAGCCGACGCCCGGTCCCAAATGGCCAAGGTGATTGATTCGCCTTGAAGCTTGCGTCGAGGTGGTTCCCTGGACTATGCTTGCTCAAGGATAGCTTTTCAGCGTCGTTTCTCTGATTGAATCTTACCCACACGTGGCAACAGTTGGAGGTTTGGTACTGTGGCGGCTCATGCTTTTTTTCGATTGACAACTAATGTCAAGGCATTGCTGTAATTTTCCGTGCGGCCAAATGTCGAACGGCTGCATGTCCACAACATGGTTTTTCGTCGCATATTCGGACCATGGGTAACGCTCCTACCTGTGTAGAGTCTGTTTGTTCACCACACTTTGGGCTAGTGACTTGTACATGTCAAACAAACCGCCGGGCTCCATCAAAGCCAACATGTAACTCCCAACCAACAAAAAACCAGGTTGTTACGCGCTGTGGACGTCCGCCATTGGGTCTCGGCATGGCGGTCTCCATGCCCATCGTGAAAGGGAAGGGCTTGACCGCCGGTGCCTGGACAAAGCTGTTCAAGGAGTTGGAGAACGTGGCCAAGAAGATGCGGGCTCGCGGGGAGCAGTCGACGTCTCTCAAGTTGGTAATCGAAACCAGCTTCGACGCCTTGTTAGCACGGAAGCGAGAGGAGATGTCTGTGATGGCGGCCGGAGCTGTTGCACCGATCGAGATGCTACTAAACCTGTGGGGGATTCAGGTAGTTGCAATGTTTCGGAACCGTTTTGCAGATCATGTGCCTGTTAGATGCGCAAGCAAGTTTGCAGGTCATGTTCCTGGACGGGCAAGCGAGTTCTCTCTCACTTCTTGGTCGGTGCACTTGTCTCTTTGTTCGGAGATCTGCTTTCTGCGATCCGGAGAACTGTTGTGATAGTGGTTGGTGACACGGAGCATTCCCCTCGAAAGTATGATTCCTCCCCACCCTGCTCAGTATCACGTCACAAAAGAAACTGCGAGAGCCGACTATTAAAAACAGCAGCAGCAGCAGCAGCAGCAGCAGCAGCAGCAGCAGTCGATACTTGCGACCCTCATATTCTCTCTTGTGTCGCTCTCTTTGTCTGTTTCTACAGCTAATAAAAAGACATTTGTGTGTGATCATTTAGGCCTACGATCAGCCCCTCACTGGGAATGGAGTCCTGATATATATGAATCAATTGAAAATCCTGTCAAGTCTATAGCTACCCGTTCCATCAGTCTTCTACATTTACCCTGCAAAGGCAGGAAACAAAGGGGTATGACCAGGGGTGCGTAGAAGATAAATTTGTGGTAGTAGCTTTGGTCCGATTCCTTGAAACCGGCGCAAGAACGTCAGTCATCACGCGCATACATGCGCATACATGACGGTAACGGGCAGAGAAAGGTTGGGGTTATCATCACATTTTCGGTGAAAATTCGTGTAGCATCATGCCGAATGGACAAGTACGGACGTTCCTGAAAAAATGGGACGACACACATTGCCTTCCACCAACCCACTGCTTGATTCGAAATGACTACATGCTTCGAAAGGATAGTTGGTGCCACGTACCTTTTATGGGCGGGCACAGGCTGTAGGAAAGAGGGCAGCATCTCAATGTGGCGCAATCCTTCAACAAACGGGAATGCTTTTGACCTTTGTTTCGCGGCAGTATGCTGAAGTATCGTGGTTGTACCCCTTTCGTCATTTCCCGTCTCCGCCGAGGGCAAGTATGCTAGGGTGGAAACTCTGCATGGGCGGTGTCAGGCGATAGAGGAGAAGACTTGAGGCGTTCAGCATTGAAGCTTGGCCGCAATGCCCAACAATCGGGCGGGGTTGTCGACCGTTGTTTCTTCGCAGCGAGGCCCACAAGCCTGTACCACATTCTTCCTACCCCGTATCCCCTTTGTTTGGTTTTAGGGCAAGTGCGACGAGGCGCAGCGGTTGTACCTTAAAGCTATCGCGATTGGAGAGAAGGCATTGGGTGTTGTTGTTGTCTTCACATAACAGCCATCCCGGTCTCTCTATCCAGTACCTCCTTCTGTCTCAATCTCTCCGTACTAATCCAGCACTTGACTCGGTCAATTTCCGTGGTCACAGGCTAATGTACCTAGAAAAGGTATACCAAAATAAAATGGACCCCAAGGGTTAGCAGAGCGATAAAATACAAGAAAACAAAAGAATCAGAAACAAATAAATAAATAAATAAATAGTGGAACGTGCGCACCACCAGCCTGGGGGGTAGCCTTCCGGAAGGACCCCAAGGGTCAGCAGTTCTTGCCAGTAAAACAACAAAACAAAATAAAACGAAATAAACCAAAGACAGACGAGGACATAAACAAACTCGCACAGAGACAGGGATATCCGTAGAGACAGTCTGAACGCGACAGCAAACGGGGGAGAGGGCAACAGAAAAACTAGTCGCTGAAATTCAACCGCAACATGTCACGTCACGCGGTCGGTCTCTTCTCGCTTGCTTTCTTCCCGCCCCGTTTCCTCCCGCCCCCCTCCCGCCCCGTTGATTGGTGCCGTATCTTGACTATTTTTGGGCCTGCTGTCTCCTCGTTTGATGGCTCGTTGTCGACTGGCCTTCTCCTCGCCCTTGTGCCAAGAGGCCATAAACCTCTCAGCTCCCTGTAGCACCCCCGCGTGCCACGGTACCCCCCCCTCCACCTTCGCCGCCTCGTCCCAGTCTGGCTTCGGGATTCCGAAGAAGCTCCGCTTGTCGGGCGTGGAGCCGTGTCTGGCTTCGAACATCTTCAGGTCGTCCTTCAGGCA